ACTACTGTCATTTTTGGGTCATTTTTGTCAATTTTCAGGGTGTGAGGTAAAACCTCATGGTTGTTTTGATTTGCATTTCTCTTATAATTAGTGATCTGGATCATTTTTACATGTGGTTGCAAATATTTTGCAGTTCTTTTGAGAACTGTTTATTCATATCCTTTGACTACTTATCTACTGGGGAATGGCTATTAGTCTTAAATATACTTATTAATTATTTATATATCCTGGGTACCAAAACCGTTATCAGAGAAATTTGATACAAAGATTTTTTCCCACTCAACTGATTCCCTTATCATCTTAGATGCATTAATACTGTCTGTGCCAAAGTTTTTCAGCTTCAAATTTCCATTTGTGCAAAAACATAGTATTATGTTCTTTCAATTAACTTTGCTTTAAGTGGCCCTGTTCCCATGGTCTTTCTTCCCTTCATCTCTGATCGCCTCTTCTCATTTAATACCCCTTTCCCTTTAGGATTTTATTAGTTCCTTTTTTGTTCCTGCTTTCATATGGTTATAAATTTCTTCTGCCCCTTCTTTTCTTGTTAGTCGAGTAGATTCTCCCTTCCATACCTCTCCCTTCAGATAATCCCACTCCTGAGTTTTTAAATTTCATATCTTTGTAACCCTTTCAAAAATGGATTTCTCTCACTCTTTCCATTATTCATCTTCTCTTCCTCTTTACAGTCACATTCTCTGATTCATGACTCCTAAAATTACTTGTTCTCTCTCTTTTCTCTATCTTCTTCAAAGCTTCCAGGAAGGTATCTATTTAGCCTCTCCCCTCTAGATGCTTTCTGCCACTGCCTTATAGGGCTTGGTTCATGGATTCCCCTTTTCCATTGTGTCTCACTTTCAAAACAATGCCAATTATTTATTGCAGGTTTCAGAGAAGACATTGGCCCATGGTGGGGTTCTTTCCCAACTATGTCCTTATTATGCAGCCCATCAATGATCTGTAGCCTCTCTTGTTGACCTTTTTTCACACATCTACCTGGAAATCTCCTCTTCATGTCAATGTTCTCCCACTTCTCCAGGTGCCAGTTGCTTGCAGGTTCCAAATCTTCCCTTCCCAGGACAAGTAGACTTTTCAAGCACCAAATCCCTCAGACCTCATCCAGTGTAAGGTCCTCACCTCTATGACTCTCTTCACCCATAGGATCATTCATCAGTGGAACTCCCTACCACCTCCAATGTAAAGCTTCCTTCCTCTCCATCTCTTTTCATCTTTCCCTCCTTTTCCTTACCCACTCCCCTTTGTAGTTCTCTTTCTGAGACCACAGAGATCACCTTCCTTTGATTGTTAGCCCTTGATTTGACCTTGGTGTATCACTCACTCCTTCCTCTGTTCCCCTTTCCCTCTTTATGTACCCTTGAATATTGTAATGTAGTTCCACAAAAAAGCACTAATTCAGCTGAAAACAGGGTAGTGTCAGGTTCTGTCCATAATATCCAGTTTACCTTTGTTATTTCTACCAGACTGCCACTTTTCACCAGTATCCTTCTGTACATTTAGAAAGATATCTCTTACTGGTCTCTATTGTCACCCTGTTGTTTTCTTTGCCTGCTGCATTTATTCACTCCTCCTGCATTTCTGTAGTGTGGGGTGTTCAAGAGGCAAAGAATCTCTTCCTTTCTCTAAAAATGTTTTCAACTCTTCTTTATTATTGGATGTCCATCTTTTATCCTGTATGGTTAAGCTCAGACTGCAAGACAAGTCACCCTGGGCTTCATCCTGAGCTCTGTTGCTCTTTTGCAAAACATTATTCCATTCTCTCCTCCTTTTTCTTTTTCTTTTTGGTGAGGCAATCAGGGATAAGTGACTTGCCCAGGATAACACAGCTAGTAAGTGTCAAGTGTTTGAGGCCGGATTTCAACTTGGGTCCTCCTGATTCCAAGGCCGGAGCTCTATCCACTGTGCCACCTAGCTGCCCCTCCTCCTTTTTCAAGTGGGTATGCGACAGCCTTACATTATTAGAATGTCCTTTCCTTTGTAATTGAAGGTATTTCTCCTGTTGGTTTGAAGAACTTATTTCTGAATTTAAATTTAACTACTATGTGCCTTAGAGTTTGCAGCCTTCCTTTTCTTTCTGGAGGAAATCTGTGAATTCATTTTTGTTGAGAAGTTTTGGGCAGTTCTCTTCTATTATTTCTTTCATTATGGTGTCAAGGTTTTTGTCCTGGAATATTTTTCTGGGAAACCTGTGACCCTTAGGTAGCTTCTGTGCAGCCTGCTGAGTTCATTATTGCATAGTGAGCATATTTTCTTTTAATATAATTGGTTTTTGCTTCTCTTCCTCTAGGTGATCCTTCACTTCTATGTATTTGCATTCCCAATCATTGTTCTCCCATTTGCTTTTTTTGGTGAGGCTCGCCATTGCAGATTCAAGTTTTTTTTTCTATTCTGTTCATTATTTTTGCTGTGTAGGAACATAAATTCTGCTCACATAATTCGTGTTTCTTTTTTAAATGACTCAGGGATAACATGTTGTGGTTCCATGTTCTCAAATTTCACAAGGTCCTCTGTCTCATCAAGTATAAGATAATTTTTCTTTATTTTTTATTATTACAGTATTTATTCATAGATGTTTGAAGTCATTTATTAGATCTAGAGACCTTATATTTCCTTCTGTTGTTAATGGTTTTCCTGACGATTTATCTGTTTATGTTCAAGGTCTCTGAATTTTCTTTTTCTTGAAATCTTTAGTATTTGAGAGTTTTTTTTTCCCTTTTATTTTCCTTATCACTCACTTCCTGATTCCCTCCCCCCAGATTGTGGTTTCCTTGGGGCCTGGATTTCAAAGCCTCTCAACCTCCTTCTACACTGGGCAATTCACAGTTCATCATCATAGGTCTCTGCTCCAACCGACTTTTGCGTTGTAAGAACTGGACCCAGCTGGGTGCTCTTTCTCCTCAGGCTTGGTATTGTACAGCACTGCAACTCTCCCCCACCAAGTATTGTCATTCGTTCTCTCTCTTTCTCTCTCTCTCTCCTGTCCTGATGCCCTGTCTCATGCCTTCTGTTCCTCAGTTCTATGGCCTGTCATCAGCAATTCAGAATCTGTTTTTCCCAGCACCAGTAGGTCATTGCTTTGTGGTATTGGTGCTTCCAGGTTACAGCCTTGGGTAGGCTTTTGCTCTAGAAGGGCTGTTGACAAGCTGGCTATTAAGATCTAAGCAAACTTTCTTCTGCAGCCTAGAGCCAGGATCTCTATGGCACTAGAAAGAGGGAGGCAGGAATGGGTGCTGAGTGTGCTCAAGGTCAGTGAGCATCAGTTCCTGAGTTTGGTTGGTTGGTTGTTTGTTTTTTTAACTTCTTTTTGATTCTGGTTATCCTAGACCTTGGAGATAGCTGAAGTTGCTTTATCTTTGACACATAATTTATGTTTTGGAGAGGTTGTGGGGATCGTAGAAAATGTCTAGATCACCATCTTGTTGCTCATGCGAGCTGAAAGTTCCCTCTCTCTGGGTTTTAAAACTCTTTACAATATGGTCCCAACCTATCTCTCCAGGTTAATTATGCATTATTTCCCACCCTATAGCTCAATGTAGTTCAACTGGCCTTCTATCTCCCTCACACACCACATTTTTTCTCCCACTGTCCTTCTGCACTGGCTTCTCCCTTGCCTGGAATACGCTCCCTTACCTCCTTCTCCTCTCTGCCTCACAGACTCTGGTGTTTCTTCAAAATGGAGCTCAAGCTCCACCTTCTACAGGAAGGACTTCCTGATCCTCCCAATTGCTAATGCCCTCTCCTCCTTAACATCCTTCTATTTGACTATCTGCTATTTCTTTTTAAAACAGCGTGTGTGTGTGTGTGTGTGTGTGTGTATGAAAACTTGTCAAGTCAAACGGAATCAACCAAAAAGTATTTATTAAGCACTTAGCATGTGCCAGGCATTGTGCTAAGAGCTAGTAATACAAAGAAAAAGGAAAAAACAGTCCCTGTTTTCAGGAAACTTATAAGCTAACAGGGGAGACAACATACATAAACCAGAACATACAAGATAAATACAAAGTAGATGGAACCTTGGAGGGGATGGCAGTAGCAGATAAGAGGACCAAGAAAGGCTTCCTAGAGGTGGCACTTGAATTTAGTCTGAAAGGAAGAGATTCTAAGATGTGAAGGCTAGGCAAGAGAACATTCCAGACCAATCCTGGATAAGAAGGCAGGGAGATGGCAGATAGAATGGTAGATCTGAGGAATAGTAAGTAGTTTGTGAAGGGCCACAAAGATGACTAGAAAGGTAAGAAGGGGCCAAACTGTGAAGAACTTTAACTCTAGAAGGATCAAGCGTCAAATGACACAAAAATTTTACTTTGAAATAAAAAAATTCATCCCACTATCTCTATTTTCTTTGCCATATAAATAAAATTTCAAAAAATACATGGTGTCAACTAAGCTTGTTCCTTTAAGGTATTCTTAAATTCCCATCCTCTTAAATGTTAAATACGAAAGGACTTTATATTTGATTTGGATTTAAAAAGAAATTACTGGACAGTGATATGACCAGATTTACACATTAGAAAAATCACTTGGCAGGCATATGAAGGATGGATTGGAATGAGAAAAACCTTGAGGGAAGGCTTTGGCAGTAATCTAGCCAAAAGGTAATAGAGGGCTGAATTAGGCTGAGAGCTGAGCAGAAAAAGGGTCATATGCATGAGATACTGTAGACAAAGAAATTATAAGGTTTGACAACTAAATGGGTATGTGGGGGTGTACAGTGAGAGCCAGAGTATGAGAATGTGACCTATGACTCCACAGTTAATATAAGATAACTTTAATTAAATAGCAAAAGATGCTTTAACCATCACATGGGAAAACTTGCATGTGACCATGGGCATATCCCTGACACTACACCTTATTTGTTTTGTTTCTATATAATACCTGGCCTGACCTGGCCTGAGGGTGTGTGGAAATCTACTACCATTGTCCTGCTACCCAGGACTAGCCTTTGTGAATAACCCCTCCCCCCCATTAAAAATCTATTTACTTACATGAGAGTGTGGACTTCCCCTCCTTCTTTGCTATCTCAGTATTTCTTGGAGGCGTTACCATCCCTCAGGTTAGTCTGCCACTCTATAACTGGCATAATCAGGGCAGAACAGATCTGCTACCTTACATGGGGTGAGCAAAAAAGATGAGTTAAAGATGATGAAAAGTTGTGAACCTGAATGATTAGAAGAGAAATAAGGAAATTCGAGCTCCTTTGAAGTATTTATTCATTCTATGTATTTATGTCTCTAACTTGATGCCTAGAACAACATAATATATACTTATAGATTATTAAGAATTGTGTTCTACTGCATATACCCTTTGACTTGGAAATACCACTACTAGGTCTATATCTCAAAGAGATTTAAAAAAAGGGAAAAGGACCTATATGTGCAAAAATATTTATATCAGCTCTTTCTTTCTTTCTTTCTTTCTTTAATGGTGGCGAAGAACTAGAAATTGAGGGAATGCCCATCAAATGGGGAATGGCTGAACAAGTTGTGGTATATGATTGTGACGGAAAACTATCGTGCTTTAAGAAATGACAAGCAGAATGGTTTCAGAAAAATCTGGAAAGATTTCCATGAACTGACGCAAAGTAAAGTGAGAAGAACCAGGAGAACAGTGTACACAGTAACAGCAATGTTGTGCAATGATCAACTGTGAATGACTTAGCTATTCCCAGCAATACAATTATCCAAGATAATTCAGAAGGACTTACAATGAAAAATGCTATCCACCCCCAGAGAAAGAACTGATGGAATCTGAATGCAGATTGAAGCATATTTTTTTAAACTTTATTTTTCTTGGAGGTTTTTTTTTGGTTTTATTGTTTTGGTTTTTTTTTTTTGCACCATGGCTAATATGGAAATATGCTTTGCATCACTGCATATGTACAATTTATATCACATTGGTTGCCTTCTCAGGGAGGAAGATGGAGGGAAAGAATTTGGAACTAAATTTTTTTAAAAAAAAATGTAAATATTGTTTTTACATGTATTTGGAAAAAAAGTAAAAGATGAAAAAAAAAAGAATTTCATTCTATCATCCACTTTTTTTTTTTTGGGCTAGGCAATGGGGTTAAGTGACTTGCCCAGGGTCACACAGCTAGTAAGTGTTATGTGTCTGAGACTGGATTTGAACTCAGGTTCTCCTGAATCCAGGGCCAGTGCTCTATCCACTGTGTCACCTAGCTGCTCCCCTTATCATCCACTTCTTCCTCAACCTCTTGTAACTAGCTTCTGACCATACCCTATTGCAACTAAATGACCTAATTACCAAATCTGAAGGGTTTTGCTTTTTTTTTTGTTTTAGTCTTTAATGGCTTCATGATTTCTTCTGTTACCTTGGAAGTCACTTAACCTCTCAGGATCTCAGTTTCCTCATCTGGAAAATGAAGGGGTTGAATGAAATGACTTCTAACGTCCCTTCCAGCTCTGGATCCATATGATCCTATGATGAGCAACATGACACTGTTGACCACTTCCTGTTAACTAGAAATTCTCTCCTTGTTATTCAGAGACAACAGCAATTCAACATTTATTAATCACCTATTGAATACAAAGAAGATACAAAGACAACATAGTATCCGACCTCAAGAAGATAAGATTCTACTGAAGGAAATACAACATGTACACAGATAAGTAACATAGTATATACAAAGTAATTTCATGAGGGTTGGGGCACTAAGAACAAGAGTGGGGTTCAATAAACACCTTGTGTAGAAAGTTGTATCTAACTTGGGCCTTGAGAGATACTAGGACTTCTAAGAAGCCAAGGTTCAGGAGGAGTACATGGGGAGACAACCTGTGCAAAGGCAAGAGAAATATGGAATGTCATGTATAGAAAACAACAGGGAACTAGCTCAAATGCTGAATGAATTTCTTCATTTGCTCACACTCTCGCCAACCCCTTAGTATGGATATTCCCCAAGTTTCCTGATATCTCTTGTTAATCTTCATTCTTTCTCTAGGCAACCTTGTTCACTCACAGCTTCAACGACTACTTGTATGCAGATGATGATGAAATTTATTTCTGAAAACCAGAACTACTCCACCAGTTCTCTACAGGACATCTCTACTTAAATATCTAATTGGCACAAACTAAACATATCAAAAAACAAACTTTTCTTTTTGCTCCCTAAACAGGCTCTTCCTTTTGACACTGTTTGTGGCCTTCAGCCTCCGTCTCATTTTTGTAACCTTTATTAACTTTTTATCCATCTCATTCACTTCCCATATCCAATCAATAACCAATTGTCAATTCCATTTCACATCCCTTCTAACTCACACCATCCAAAGGCAGGTCATTACTACCCACCAAGACTACCAAAAAAACCTACTTTCTGCCTCCACTCTGCCCCCCTCATCATACTAGATCATGGTGCTTCCAGAATCAACTTTTTTATAGATTTGTTGTTGTTCAGTCGTTTCAGTCCTGTCTGACTCTTTGTGATCACATTTGGGGTTTTCTTGGCAAAGACACTAGAGTGGTTGCCATTTCCTTCTTCAGTTCATTTTACAGATGAGGAAAGTGAGGCAAACGGGGTTATGTGCCCAGGGTTACACAACCTGAAAGTGTCTCAGGCCAGATTTGAACTCAGGTCTTCTTGACTCCAGGCCTGGTACTCCATCCACTGGCCACCTAACTGCCCCTTCGTATAGATCAATCAGGTTATGCTGCTCTTTTGCCAAAAACAAAACAACACAAAAAAACTCCAGTGGCTTGCAATAAGCTAGAAATTCTGCCTGGCATTGATTTTCCTTCACAATTTGGTATCACTCTGTAATTTGCTAGCCTTATCTCATATTACTTCCCTCTAAGCACTTTGTGCTCCAGGCAAACTGAACTAAAAGACACACTGTGGCACAGCAGAAAGGGCACTGGTTCTAAAGTAAGAGAAGCAAGTCACAGTCTACCTGGGCTAGTCTCCTCTTCCCAGCACATAAAATAGAAGAACTGGGCTAGGTGACCATCTCTGAGATCCTTTCCAGCTCTAATGCTATAATCCCAATTTCTGGCCTCTAAACATGCTAAGCATTCTCCTTACACTCTGACTTGATTCACAGCATTTCCTATACTAAGAATTTACCTTCATCCGCTGAAAATCCAACTTTAAAAATCCCAAACCAAATGCCAAATCCTCCATCTATCATACCTTCCCTAATCTGAACACTCTCCCCATTTCTTTTAAATCTAGTACAGGAATTTGTTTTGCAATTCCTTAATGCATTTCTCAAGTAATACTGTGTATCATGTTTTCTGTTGGTATTGTATTTCTATTAAATGATAAACGCTATGAGGACCAGAACAATAGCTTATCTTAATTTTGTATGCTGAAGTAAAAAAAAAGAAAAATATGCCTAGCCTAGCATACTTGCACAGAAAATGTAATAAGTGTTTGCTAAAGGAATGAGTATCTTTTCTATATATAACATTGCCTGTACCCATGAACATATAGAAGTACAATAGTACAGAGGAAAAAGCACCAGATTGGAATTCAAAAGACCCAATTGAAATCCTGGTTCTCTCATTTGCTAACTTTGTAACCCTGGCAAAATAAATTCATCTCTCTGAAGGGGGCTGCAATGGATGATCACAGCCTTTCCAGCTCCAAATCCTCATATGCTTTCAATCAACCACTAAGTTTTCATTAAGTGCTTGCATTATGCCAGACACAATAAATTGAGGGGATACAGATTCAAAAGCCTAAGCCTCAAGGAGCTTTCATTCTATGGGGGAAGACAACATGTTTACATTAGCATGTACAAAATATATGCAAAATAAATAGAAGGTAATTTGGCAGGGATTGAAAGTGATCAGGAAGGGCTTCAATGTAAATTAAGTTTAACTGTGAAGTAAATTACGGCTTTTCTGAGCAGGGGTGAGGAGTGAGGATTGCATTCCAGGCAAAGGGAGGAGGGTAACAACCAGTGTTAAGATCATACCTATAATCATCAAAAAGTACAGGGGATATGAAATTTTCTATTTCTAACTCATTCATCCAAATTAGATCCAGGGTGGCACTCAAGCAAAGCATTACCATCTGTTGTGAAATACTGAAGTGGTGGGCTCTGCCCAGTCCTCAGTAAAATAGGTACTGTTAAGCTTTCTTATGAGAGGTGGTATGTTTTAGTGCACAGAGCCTGGAACTAAGACCCTGTTTAAGTCCAGCCTCTGACCCTTATGGATTATGTGCCCAGGAAAACCATTAAACCTCATAGTGTCCCAGGCAGAACTGATCAGCATTCATTCATGGAGTTTACTTTTCTTATAACCAACAAAATCACAGGGTCAGTCGAAAAACGACAAAAATTTTACTTATAATAAACCTTTGAAAAGCACCAAAACTGAACGAACACAAAAACTCCTATTTTATTTATTTTTCTTTTTTAGGCAATTGGGGTTAAGTGACTTGCCCAGGGTCACACAGCTAGTAAGTGTCAAGTGTTTGGTCTGAGGCTGGATTTGAACTCAGGTCCTCCTGACTTCAGGGCCGATGCTCTATCCACTGCACCACCTAGCTGCCCCCAAAACTCCTATTTTAATATGTCGTTATGGCTAATGTTGAAGTTGGCATGAGCCCTGAGCACCCAGTAAAATGAGAGAGAGAGAAGCTACCTTTTCATGCTAGCTGATTAACATTATTGGTTAAGTTTGCAGTAGTTAATGCTATAATGTCCACAATGTGCAATTCTTGTCTGTATTGAACCAAAAAGTACTGCCCTGATAAAGCTACTTAACATTCACTAGGCAGTTTTCATTCCTGCAAGATGGAGTATCTTGAAAGCGTAATTTATGGTTGAGCTAATAAAAAGAGTACCTTTTTTGTAACAAGCAAGCTAGAGTTCTGAAAATTCAGGATAATCAAATATAATAAAAAGAATTTAATTCTGGACAAGTTAATATAGGGGTGTGTGTGTGTGTGTGTGTAAAACTTAATGACTAAAATTCCTGATTTCATTAAAAGAACACAAGGTGAAAACGCAGGGCTGTGGTTCTGTATGTTTTGCTCCACTGTTATCAAACAACAAAGACCTCGGAAACTTGGGGCAGATCTCATTTCAGCCCAAAAGTACAGGCCTGGAATTTAAATGAGCAAAGGTGTCGGATTTTTTGCGGTAAGGAAAAATGTTAATGTGTTAAAAAATAAATTGGGATTCTGTTTTACCAAAGAATACTCAGATTTCAGTCTAAATCCCCCAAAGATTTTAAAGAATAGACACTTCCCCACCACCATATTCCCAGACCTGCAACTCAGGCTAGAAGTCATGAGTATTTTTTTGTACAGTAATTTTTCACCCAGAAAGAAACTATTTCAAATAACAAGAAAGGAACGAGAGAAAGAAGAAAGGGCTGATGAGGTAGGTCCATTCCCTAGCCTTCCATTCCGAACTTTCCTGAATCTTCCACATTTTTTTTTTAAACAAAGCAGGACTTGTAGCTACTAGGAAGAGCCCTATTTATGGAACGGAATTTACATTTCCTTGCCAGGGCTTCCAACCAACCTCCCAGGAAACACTAGCAAGTTTCAGGACCAGAAATGGATTGTTGTAAATTCAGACTCTTGATGTTGAAATTGCATTGTGCAAATTGCAAAGCCTCAGACACGCACGCCGAGGTTTAGGACTTCGGACATACAAAGAACAGCCCACGGGTACCCATTCGATGCCAGGGGCTTATTCCCCCAAATGCTGGACTTCCATTTCCCCGTATCCACACCTTGGGGGGGGGGAGTGTGGATCTGTACGAGGTCCTTTCAGCACCCCCCACCTCAAACACACACACACCCACCCCCTCCCCGCCCCCAGGCATCCCTGGAGCTGACCAGCGTCAGGGCTCCCCGAGAAGCTAAGGCAGGACCAAGACAATACCCTTCGGCTCGCCCCGAGACCCTCGAAGCCCCAGCAGAAAAATGTCCCGACCTCTATTCTTGAGACTCACCGAGGAAGCGGCCGGAAGACTTCCACAGGACCCCGCGACGACAATTCTTTTTTTTTTTCCCAGTCCCCTTCCTCCTCCTCCTCCTCCTCCTCCTCCTCCTGCAGCGACCAGAACCTCAATCTGAACCCCGACCAACGGCCCCGAAGATTCAAATTCAACCGACTTCCGCCCGCATCCCGGAAGGGGACCGCGGCCCCCACCACCCCGCTTGGGCTCGGAGACGGGGCGGGGATGGGGGATGGGGGATGGGGGATGGGGGAGCGGTGGGCGGAGTAGGGGACTCTGCGGAGGAAGCAGTCCTCCCGGCTCCCTTCGGCCCGCGCACCTACCGCTCCCCGATCCCCAAGTAGAGATCCTGCGAGCGCAGGGGAGGGAGGCTTCCCGGGCAGGACTGGCGAGTGTGGGAAGACGGGGAGGGGAGACGGGATGGGGCGACCTCTGGGAGAAACTTGCCTGCGCTTCCAGCGCGGCGGCGCTCCTAGAACCAGGAGCTTTTCACCATCCGTGCATCCTGGAACAATCCTGAAACCTATGGACCCCCTCCCAGAATAATGGTTTTAAATGCATGAAATATAATACAAGAATTAGAAAGGGAACCAGTTATATCGAAGGAGTTGTAAAATATGTGTATATTTGTAAATGTTTATCTCTCCATCCTTCCCCTCTTAAGACACATAAGAGCAGGGTGTCTGGTGAACTATTTCCTGCTCTTGTGTGTCCCAAGAGGGGAAGGGTGGAGAGATAGATATGCATATACATATACATATATGCGTACATGTGTACATATACACATATATGTAGGTGTGTATATATGTATGTATATATATATATATATATAGGAAATTCATCGGACCCCCTGCTCTTGCGTATCTTAAGAGGGGAAGGGTGGAGATACAGAGATAGATGGAGAGAGAAATATACACATATATTCACAAACACACACATATTTAACACACTCACATATATTTTACAGAAGTTCACCAGACTCCCTGCTCTTGCGTGTCTTAAGACAGGAAGGATGTAAAGAAAGATCAACATTATCTATTCCGTGTTTGAAAAAAGATGGATCCCTAATTTTATTCATTTTATTGCTTTCATCTATCTCTTGACTCACTGGTATTCTGACAAAACAATACCTCTCTCCAAAAGAGGTAATGAGGTTAGCAAGGACACATTTACAAACTGACAATTTCTTACAAGGATTCTGCTGTTTTTGACCACAGAATAGCTAGTGTTGATCTCTGTATCTCTCCACCCTTCACAATACTTTGTTGTGTTGGTTTCCTATTTCTCCAGGACTACCCTCTCCTCATAATGAATTTTTAAGTGTCAACTTCCTTTCGCTTTCATAGTCTCTGAACAAGGTTTTAGACTAGGAAGTACCTTAGAGATACTGTCACATCGTGCGAACTTCGAGAGTCAAACCCAGATTTTTCTAACTTCTAATCTGAATACTTTTCCCACTACGCCATTCTTTCTCCCAAATCTATGAAGCTGACTCCTGTGCCCATCTTAGAACAAGAGGGTAACCTCAAAAGATTATACAAATCCAGGTAGCACAAAGTCTCTGAAATTTGTTTCCTTACAGGGTCCCGGACCTAACTAGATGGTGTTAAAAAAAAAATCGGGGGCTCATAAAAACAGTCAACACAAAGGTAAAGTTATGGAACAGTCTTTAACATACATCCTTACATTGCTTGTTGCCCTTTTGATATTAATTTTCCCCTTCAAAGCGTCCATTCAAGAAGCATTTGTGTCAGACACCTGGGATTTAGAGACAAAAAAGAAAGTACTACTAGTCACATTTTAGAATCCCTTCCTTTTCCATCTGACTTTCCACTCTCTTAACCCAATAAGCCTACTTTTTTCTCTAGACCTATAATTTCATGGGTATAAGGTTGCAAATTCATGGGTGTAATGAGGAAACTCTAGCAATGCAGATCAGAGGCTGTTCTGCAATCTATAGCATTATAAAGTTGTCAGGGGACACTGAGAAATTAAGTATCTTGTCCAGGTTCGTGTAACTAGTATTCCTCTGAAGTAGGAGGTGAATCCAGATTGTCCTGACTTCTCCACTTAGATTTATTCCAGTATTGCTTCTGGCTACCAAGTTGTTGAGAATCACTAAAGAAAATTACACAATCCAGCTGATTTCACTTATTACAAAATTTGTCTACCTTTCACTTCCATTCATTCACTGTTCCTAGTTCTAGTTTCTAGACCTATCTAGAATAAAAAAAAAATATCCTTGTGAAGTATGACAGCCTTCCCAAAACTTGAAACTCTCCAAAAATGGTCTTTGTGTTTCCCATAGATCTCCATTTCCTTCAGCTAGCCTTTAGATAAAATAGCTGAGAATATAACATCACTTTGGTTTCTCTCCCATGTCTACATTTTGTTATGTCCTAGGCCAAACACTAAATTCAGAAATTTTAAATAAATCACCTATGACTAAAAAACACAAAAAAATAGCTATTACTCAGAAATTACTTATTTTTAATTTTCCTTTTTACAGTAGGGATCTGACAAACATCAACAAACATATACATTTCCATGGATGGATAACAGAGAAAGGTATGTGAAACAATGAGTCTGTCACACACAACTTTTTTTTTTTTGAATTAGGCAATGGTGTTAAGTGACTTGCCTAGGGTCACACAGCTAGTAAGTGTTATGTGTCTGAGGCTGGATTTGAACTCAGGTCCTCCTGAATCCAGGGCCAGTGCTCTATCCATTGTGCCACCTAGCTGCCCCCACATAACTTATTTTTAAAAGCATATAATAAGTTTAACATGGTAGTATCAATATTATCCTGCACGTCCGCATTCATGCCTGAACTTCCTTCTCTGCATTTTTAAAATGGCCCATTGATAACCTTTATGGAGTGTGTGTGTGTTTTGCCCAATCTGTCAACAATCAACAAGCATAACTTGCTACTACAAGTATAGCAATGCTACTACATACTAAAAGCATCTACTATGATCTAAGAATGGTACTAGGCACTGGGAATACAAAGAAAAAATTTTACAAGTCCTTGTCCTTAAGGCACTCATAGTCTAATAGAAAACATGCAAACTATGTACAAGCAAGATATATACAAGATAAATTGGAGATAAGCAACAAAGGGAAACTGCTAGCATTAAGGGAGATCAGGCATGACTTCTTGTAAAAGGTGGAATTTTATCTGGGACTTGAAGAAAGGCAGGGAAGCCAGTAGGCAAAGATGAGGAGGGAGAGAATTCCAGGCATGAGAGATTGAGTCAAGAGGTAAAAGTGTTCTGTTCAAGAAACCATAAAGAGACCACTGTCAGAATAAGTGGGGTTGTATAGGGTATAAAAAAGACTGGAAAGGTAAGAAGGGGATAGGTTACGAAGGACTTTGAACAACTGAGGATTTTATATTCCTAGAAGTCATAGGGAACCACTGGAGTTTATTGAATAGATTGGGTGTGTGCAACAGGATTTGTCTAGATGTGGCCAGCAGGGAAGCATGAATAAATACTGTAATCTCTTCTGCCTGCCTATGTCCAAGGGAGACTGATTCCTGCCAGTCTGGGAGCAAGAGATTGGGACAGTGAGGCTTGCTGCTCTGTTCTCCTCAGAGAGAGGGTATCGGATTAGAATTATATTTATTCAACCCCCTAAATATTGCTAGCCTAAAGCAGTGTTATCAAACTCACATAGAAACAGGGCCCACTAATCCATACATAAGGATCCCTGAGGGCCATATATAGTCTTGTTTTTAAAATTCAGTTCAAAAAACACTTATCAAGTGCCTATTATGTGCCAGCTATGGGCAACTAGATGGCACAGTGGATAGGGCACTGAGCCTGGAGTCAGGAAGACAGAGTTCAAATTCAACTTCAGACACTTAACGGTATTACCCTGTACAAGTCACTTAACCCTGTTTGCCTCAGTTTCCTCATGTGTAAAATGAGCTGGAGAATCACTCCAGTATCTTTGCCAATAAAACCCCAAATGGAGTCACTGAGTCAGACAGGACTGAAGTGACTGAACAACAAAAATGTGCCAGGCATCATGCTAAGTGCTGGGGATATAATAAGGAAAAGAAGACAGTTCCTGCCTTCAAGGGACATACAATCTAATGGAAGACAACATACAGAAGGAGGTTGGAAAAGTGGAAGAGAACCAGGGGGTATCTGGCACAGAGGCATCTTGTTTAAAGGAGTTGAAATCAAACAAAACTTTGGATGGAAAGTTAAGTGAGTAGAAAATCCAAATCCTTTCTGCACTCTTTGGTGCTCTACCCCTCCAGCCCTTCAATCAGAGGGTAGATGAGGTTGAGGGAAGATGAGAAGGTGTTGAGCATCTAAGGCTGTTTTATATATCTATCTATCTATCTATCTATCTATCTATCTATCTATCTATCTATCTATCTATCTATCTACACACACACACACACACATATATATATATACACACACATTTATATACACACACATTTATATACACACACATATATATACACATATATATACACACACACATATATATATATAATGTTATCTATGTTTAATTGTATTTTTATTTATTTCATTGAATAATTCCTATTACATTTTAATCTGGTTTGGGCTACACTTGGGAATGTTACTGCCATGTATATGACACCTCTGGTTTAGGGGAAATAATTTTTAGGTTCAAACTACTTTTTCTGCTTGCTTTGCCTTTAATGTGGAAAGAGTGCCCCAAGCTGTATCTGAAGGCCTGACTGTCTTCTGACCAACTGCCAGCTACACAAAACTATCATACATAGTGAATAGCAAATAAAACTAACCTGATAGCAAATTGAAATTAGAGAAGTTATACAGATTGGAATAAGTCAGACGATAAACAGAGTGAATGATCTCTCCCAATGGAAGCAAAATCTCTGCTCAACAGAAAGGAGAGAGTCCCTGATCTCATTCAAGGGGAAATTCCCTGAAGACTATAGTGCAGTTAGAAATAGGGATATGGCTGAAAGCAATGGCTCCTCTACGTGTTAGCTCCTTCTCAAGTTCTTCTCTACCTTCAGGAATA